TAAACATTTAATCTGACAAAAAGGATTCACAGTGCTGAGTACAAAATACAGAAATAAATGACATACAGATAACAAATTGCAAAACAGTACATGAAATAAAATAGGAGAAAACACAAGAAATTCCTTACATGTAGTTACCCCATATAGGATTCTTGTGGGAGTCGTAGATGGTATAGGTCTCCAAGAAGTTGCTGACCAAAGAAAAAATGAATAAACTCTCTGGATAGTCCAGCACCCTCACTATATACCTAAACTAGTTGTTGCTCAGTGGGCAGACCCCTGGAGGGGATGGGGGGGTCAGAGGGGGTTGGTCTGGCAGTTTATTTCCCACTCTATGCAATTCCTTGTGTCCAGCTCTTTTGATGGCTATCTAGATGTTTTATGGTCTAGGCCTGGTGCAAGATCAAAGACCACAATAAATGTCATCCCAAGGTTTACAAAAAAAAACTCTTAACATATATCAACACACATCAAACACCAACTCATGCTTTTGGCATGACAATGTGCAATAGCCTTTCGCATTTATAATTTTTATTAAATGACATTTGCAACACATAACATGGTACATAATTACAGTCCGCCTTTACAACAACATTTGCGGATAACATTCTACATTTCGCCCTGTATCCAGCCATACTTCTCACTCAATTGATCAAATAACCAATTAAATATACAAATAATCCGTATGCCAGGCGATGTTCGATGTGATGCATACAGCTTCAAAGCATGCGGTACATTTTTTTTTTTTTTTAAATATAACTAGGGAGGGGATGGGATACAGAAGGAAAGAGGGGGGGGGGAAAGTCCCTGATCACAGCTTCACGCCACAGCCTGCAGTACATTATAAATCACCTTCCTTGTGTAATTTGTGAGATTGATGAGGCTATATATTCGCCTGAGCACCTCAACGCCCTGACCCCTTTGTTCCCCTAACGTTTGCGCCTGTGTGCTTCCTTACTGGCCCGCTATGAGGGTTAACCATTTGGTTCGAGCAGTCGGTTTGTCTTAGTTGTCATTCGGTGACTGTGTAGCCGTCCAACATACCCATTCTTTATCATACTTTCCTAGGCATCCTTTTAGCTTGCTGGCCATTTTCTCGTATATGCTAATCACATTCATTTTGTTGATAATCACCTCTACCTGAGGAACTTGTTTGCTTTTCCAGTTACCAGCTAAGGCTACTTTTGCTACCGTCAGTATATTCAGAATCACTTTTTTGTGAGGGTGTGTGTCTAGGTCTGGTATAACATGTAATAAGTACTTGTCCGGTCGCAATGGGATGGAGGTGCCAGTCGTACTTGAGATCAGGGTTTGGATTTGTTTCCAGAATCCGTCTAGCAACGGGCATTTCCAGAACACATGTAACATGGTTCCAGTGTCCGACTCGCATCTCCAGCACAAGTTCGTAGCTCCTGAGTACATACTTGCTAGTCTCTGTGGTACCAGATACCACCTCATAGTTATCTTGCAGAAGGCCTCCCATAGCGAGAGGCTACTCGATGCCTGTTTTGTATTTGCCCTCGCAGACTGCCAGTCTGCTTGGGAGATATGAAATACCAGGTCCTGCTCCCATTTTGCCATGTATTTCAGTTTATCTGGGGTGTTATCTGTGACCAACGCATTGTAACATAGGGAGAGTGGTTTTACTGCTTTTGTCAGAGATAAGTGGCTAGGTTGGAGTACCGGAGAGTTAGTTCGAGCGACTGTTTGTTTACCATGGGTTAGTATTATGTTTTTGATTCTTAAATAAAGGTACAGATCTCTCAAGTCTAACCCCAGTTCCTCTTTCAATTCAGGGAATGGTTTCACCGCGTCTCCTGACATTAAATCCCTCACTAATCTCGCTCCCTTGTTGAGCCATTTGCCCACCTGTATGCCTGGGGAGTAGGCTGCTAGTGTTGTGATGGGTGCTTCCCTAAATAATCGTACCGGGTCCAGCACCTTCGGACACCATGTCTTCCATGCTTTAAGCATAGTGATCGAGCATCTCAGGGTCGTGCCGGCAGATGTTCGGGGCAAGGAGCATGTCCACAAGTAATGGACTGTGTCATGTGCCTCTAGGCATTCATTTTCTAATGACAGCCAGAGCGGTTTACGGGGAAGGGTATGGTTCCTAATGAGTCGCAGTCCCTGTGCCAAGAAAGAGGCCCTATAGTACGCAGTTACGTCCGGCATCCCCAGTCCACCTTGGACATAAGGAAGTCCCAGACACCCTTTATTCACTCTCGGGGGTTTCCTCTTCCAGATGTGAGCATTGATCGTGCTTTGGAATTGTTTGAGCAGCGCAGTCGGGAGGAATATGGGCAGGGTTCTGAATAGGTATAGGATGTGTGGCAGTGTCATCATTTTAATTAGGTTGATACGTCCGAGCCATGAGGTATCCATGTTAGCCCACTGTTCGAGGGAGGATTTGATTTTCTTTAGCACGGGGTAGTGATTTTCTTTGGTCACCGTTTGAAGGGATTTGGTGAGGTTTACACCTAAGTATTTTAAGGAATTGGTGCGCCAATCAAATGGATGTTGTGGTTTTATCCTGTCTAACGTAGGTTTTGGTAGGTTTATGGGTAGAGCTTCCGTTTTGGTTATGTTGTTTTTATAGTACGATATCTCCCCATAGTCTACCAGCGTTCTCATTAGAGTGGGAAGGGAGGACTCCGGTTTTGTAACAAACAGTAGTATGTCATCGGCAAACAGAGCTAATTTCTTATCGCCCCCCTGGGTGTGCAGCCCCTTTATATTGGGATCATTTTTTACTATCCTTATTAGCGGTTCCAAGCATAGGATAAATATTAGGGGGGAGAGGGGACAGCCTTGCCTGGTGCCATTACATATGGCGAATCTGTTAGATACAAAGCCCGTGCTAAAAACTTTTGCTGAAGGGTTTTGATACAGTGCCATTATGCTTGATCTAAAGTTTAGTGGGAATCCCATTTTGGTGAGGGTGAGCAACATATACCTCCAGTGTAGGCGATCAAACGCCTTCTCAGCGTCAAGCGCTAGCAAGAGTCCCGCTTGATGCGAGGCGTTCGCCCAGTCAATCAGGTTCAGGAAATGTCTAGTGTTGTCCCCTACTTGACGCCCCTGGACAAAGCCCGCTTGCTCCTCCGAGACAAGGTCAGCTAGGATTGGTTTAATTCTAGAAGCGAGGAGTTTGGCATACAGTTTGGTGTCTGCGTTCAGAAGGGAGATCGGGCGTAGGTTTGCACAGTGTGTGGGGGGTTTATTGGGTTTGGGTAACGTCACTATATGTGCCTCCAGCATTTCCGTGGGCATAGTCCCTGCATTTTTTATGTGATTAAATAGGTTGGTGAGAGGCGTGAGTAGTTGTTTGGTCAGTTTTATGTAGTAGTAGTTGGATATCCCGTCTGGTCCTGGGGCCTTATGTTTGGGAAGGGATTTGATTGCTGTTTCTACTTCGTCCTCCGTGAAGGGGTTCTCTAGTTGGGTTCGTTGTGCTTGTGTTAGGCTGGCTAGGGGCGCTCTATCCAGAAAACGTGCTATCTCGTCTTCCGTCGGTTGGTGTGTGTAGGGATATTTTTCTAATTGGTATAATGAGGCATAGTATTTCGCTAGTTCGTTCACTATGTCTTGGGGGTTGTATAATTTATCCCCAGTTGTGGAGGTTATATACGGGATTTTAGATTGCAATTTGGTTTGTTTCGCTTTGTTGGCCAACATTTTCCCAGCTTTATTACCCATGACATAGTGTGATTGCTTCAAAAACCTCAAGTGTCGTTCTGTTACAGCGAGGTTTAGGCTATGTAGTGTTGTACGAAGCGACATCAGTCGCTTATGTGTTGCCGTAGTGGGGTTTGTTTTATGGGTGGATTCTACTGTGGCCAGGTCTTTCTCTACCTTGTCCAGTGTTGTGTTGTGCAGCCTCTTTGTCCTAGCCCCTATCTGGATTAATTCTCCCATCATGACCGCCTTATGGGCCAGCCATTTTGTGGCGTCGGATGACGAGCAGTCAACGTGGTCAGCGAAAAATTCCGCAGCCCGGACCTGTAGTCGTTGGAGATGTGCTGGTACGTCTAACAGACCTTCATTCAGGCGCCATTTGCCTCTACCCCTAGCTGGGTACGGAATTCGCATAGTGACAACGTACGGGGCATGGTCAGACCACGTGATCGGCCCAATGTGAGCCTTAATGGCGAAGGGCAATGTTTTGGTGTCGAGTAGACAGAGATCAATTTTCGTGTAGGTCCTATGGACCGACGAGTAGTATGTGTAGTCCCTCCCACTCGGGTTCAAGCCTCTCCATGTGTCATAGAAGTCATGCCCGTGCAATAATTTCCTAAAGTGTTGGCCTAGTGAGATTGAATGTTGTTGTGGTAATTTGTTCCCCTCTCGTTTTATATCGACATCGGGATCTGGAACGCAATTAAAGTCCCCGCATATAATTGTATGGCCCACTCTGAGCTTGTCAATTGTCCTAAACACTGTGCTGAGGAAGGTTTTTTGCTTATCATTCGGCGCATATATGGAAGCTATAGTCACCGATAAACCATTTAAGGAGCCCACTAATATCAGTATTCTCCCGTCTCGACTGGCAAATTGGTTGGATGGTGTGAATGCCCAATCCCTATGGAAATAGATAGCAACTCCTTTAGCTTTAGTGTCTGACATGGCGTGGTATCCTTGGGGATACTGTTTGACAGTGAGTTTGGGGTGTTTCCTAATGCAGAAGTGTGTCTCTTGGAGGCCTATAATCGCTGCCTTGGACTTGGTCATTTCCTGTACTGCTAGCCTCCTTTTGTGTGGGCTGTTGAGACCCTTAACGTTTAAGGTGAGGATCGCCAAAGAGTCAACCATGATCTAGGTGTAGTGTTATGCTATGCTGGGGCCGTGGGATGACATTCGCTGCTTGCGACATGCGGTGTGCTGCTGGTCCGGGACCAAAAGGGGAAACGTAGGGACAGTGGACACAAATACAGGGAGGGAGAAAAAAAATAACTAAAGTATGTACACAGCGCCATAGAGACAACTAGCGCTCTACGTGGGTGAGGTGTGAGCGGGCAGATTCTATCCGTCTCACGTCTCATCCTGGGGACGCACCTGGGTGGTGCAGCCGAGTGCGTGACAGCTTTTCTCTAGGTAAACTTATTCCTACCCCACAAATACATCTGAGATGTCCACCAGGACCCACCATTTGATCACAAACAATACCCTCTCCTCCATCTTGCTACCATGTGTATGCCATGCTGTCACAAAACCTGTACAGTATATACTATCTGAGTCGTGACTTCTGTACCCTATACCCCCCACTTGCTGTAGTACTCGTAGAATTGCGTCCCTACCGTCCCTTTGTACCTGCCCTGACTCCCCACCTGCTGGGTTTGACAAGGTTGGTCACCCCGCTACGTAGTGCCTTACTCCTTGGGCAATAGGGACTCACATATAATGTATTACATTAAGAGGTTCAGAATGTCATACTCACAATCCAGTTACATTAGCATGTCATAGAGCGGAGGCTAGCATTGAGTTAGTGTCTCTCAGTGTCCAATTTTATAGTGGGTAGTGGTATGTCCTTGTTGGGTCCCGACTGGAGCCCTATTCTTTTCTTTGTGGCGAGCCCGCCATCTTCCATTCAGCCTGCGGTCCTCTCGGGGATGCTGTAGTCGGAGCGTCTCTCGGTGATAGCGGGAATAGGCCCCATTCTTTTAGTAAGCGCATTCCCACCTCCGGTTCGTTGACGGTATGCGTTTTGGCATTCCTCCATATAAGTAGTTTTGTTGGATAGCCCCATCTGTATTGTATGCCGTTGTTTCTCAGGGACTTCGTCACGTTAATGAATTCTCTGCGTCTGCCCATTGTCATAGCTGACAGGTCTGCGTATAATTGAACACCTGTATACGGTGTAGGCATCACGGTGATTTTCCTCGCCGCCTGCAGTAGATGGTCCTTCGTCTTATAGTAGTGGAAGCGAGCGACCACGTTGCGCGGCGTATCTTTATGCAGATTCTGCGGTTTCGGTAGTCTATGAGCTCGGTCCATGAGCCATTCTGGGTCCGATATCTCCGGCGCCAGCGACTTGCACAGGGAAGTAAGGTATTGCGGCAGTTGCTCTCTCGTGACGCTTTCTGGAATGCCACGGAAGCGTATATTGTTTCTGCGTGAGCGATCTTCCATGTCCGCTAATTTCCTTTTTAGGAACTGCTGTTCACTCACTAATTGTTGTACTGTGTCTGCCAGGGCATCTTGCGCTGCGCATATGTCGTCAGTGCGTGTTTCTAAATTGTTTGTTCTTTCACCCAGATCTGTTATTTCTTTCTTAATATCATTTGTGGCTTTCTTCAGATCAGACTGCAGGATGAGTCTAAAATCCTTCAGCATTGCATACAGCTTTTTTTCTGTGACTGGGGCATTAGTGTATCCTTGCTCCTCATACTCTGTGGGAGGATTTGAGGCCTGTGAGGATTCCAGCTCCTCACCGCCGCCATCTTGCTCCGGCCGCGACCGGTCTTTTTTCCCGTGGCGGATCGGATCCGTCAGCTTTGTTTGTTTTGCCGGGGCCATGGGAGGTGAGGGGGAGATACCTCTCCTGTTTTTCGCCGTCAGCCGGGGGGTAAGAGCTGCTATAATTCACGCTTTTGCCGTCTCGGACCGGGAGCTCTCACTCCATGCGTCCGTTCCTCTCGGCAGTCGGACACGCCCCTGCAATAGCCTTTCAAAGCTTTACTATGGGAAAGCATTGAATTGGATGAGATCATCAAATTTGATCATCTCAGCCAAGGAGGTGGAGCGGGGCCAGCCACGAGGAGACCAGTGTGGCGCTGAAAGAAATGTGATTAATCACCTTTCTAATGGGGGAGGAAGGGGCCTAAACAGCTATTTTAAACCTATATTGTCAAGAATACATGTTTGTTTTTCTACAGTGTTCCTTTAATTATTTATTTTACACACTGTTTTGATATGGTTATGTGTAATAACAGACTAGGGAAGTATCGCCTGTATCCAAGAAGTAAGACTCATTCAACTTTAACCCAACAGAAAGAGAAGGAATAGGAAGTAACAAAATAGCAAAACTTACATCGTGCCAAAATTAGCAGAAGAGACGTACAGAGTAAAAGAGACATACAGAGTAAAAGGTCAGGGAGGGCAGCAAACACCAAATCTGATCGTCAAGCCAAGGTCAAAAAACAGGAATTTAGGGGGCAGAGCTGACGGAGTTCATGGACCATCACAATTTTTGAGTTCTGTGTGCTGACTTACAATAAGTCTACTTTCTGAATGTGCACACATGAACACTTCCTTCACTCAAACTGGAGTCAATACAAAGGTATAGGAAAAATATACAGTATCTTCTTTATTGTTACAAAAAATACATGACATAATTAAATTTGACAGATAGGAAAGTGTAGTGTCAAAAAAGGGGGCTCGTTTTACGTCTAAACAATGCTTTCTCAACTGCCTTCAACATCTTTTTGACTGTTCTAACTACTGCAAACACATTACTCAAGTGAATATAAGCTCTACTAATACTATGAACTATAATAATAAGCTTCCAAGATGATATTCTCTACGTCAGATTTAGGGCTGTTTGATGCCCTAATGTCCATCTACCCAAGATGGCGCCAGCAGCGACTGGTGGAACACACCCTACAGATGTATCTTTGTCGGATGATTCCATACATGTCCAAGCCAACGTTTGTCATATAGTGAGATGGTCTCTTCAATAAAAGGGATTAGGGAATATATAAGTTTTATGTACAGAAATAAACTTGGGTCTCTTAGTTGGGAGTTGAAAACCTTACACAGAGGCTCCAGGCACTTGAATCTGTACCGGCTTAATGCAACTTGCTGCTTCAGAGTACTGAAGTCCCCTTGTGCCCCAGACAACGTGCCAAGAGACTTGGTCCTCCAGGTGCAAAGTGGCAGAGACAAGGCAGAGGTGCTGGCAGCCATCAGGGACCACACACCATATAAGTATGAAGACATGTCTCTCACGTTTTTCTCAGACTTGTCAGGGAGCACCCTTGCCTGGCGGAGATCACTCAAGCCATTTACCTCTCTACCGAGGAAGCAGAAGATACTATACCAGTGGCGACTAACTAATGGTCCAGAAGGGTGAGACCAAGCACCTGATCCACAACCTCTCGGAAGCAGCAGCCTTACTGCCCATACTCAACCTGCCTCCAGATGCCCTGACACCAACCGGGGAGGGGACGGCAGACCGGACGCCGCACCAGTGGAACCCAGAGACTGCAATCTCTTTCACTCCTCGACGGACTACCTGATGAGAACATTGGGACTAAAAAATCACCACCTACTGCAGCGATACAGTACTCCCTAGAGCTGTAGGGTTAATTAAAAGTTTATGTTATATTGAGTTTAGATAGATACATTTTTGTTTTATTCAGCACACTACTCAAGAGAGTTTACACATAACCAGCTCACATTGAGATCGACTGACCAATAGAGCTGACCTAACCCCTCTCCTACTCCATGCCTTCAGGTGACCATGAGAGCCTAGTATTCCTTCATGTGCAGCGCTAAAGGCATCACAAATAAGAGTACATTGTACCCTGGCACGAGTAACAGCTATGACCTAGCTCTAAGACAAGACAAGTTCCCCAACCACAGTTTACAAGGTCAAGGCCCTGTCACGTCAGAGGTACTCAATAAGTACTCAGAGTTACATATTACAATGAGATCTCATTACCTCGCATAGTTAAATATAAATGATATCTCACCTTAGTGATGCAACATTAAATATAAAAATGTGCTGTGTCTCTGAATGCCATGTCAATAATCTGCCCATCTTGAATGTTTTTACTATGCTTGGTATAGCTATCGTGGCGTATCAAGCCCGTATGTTACCAGTTGCACAATAAATATAAAAAAAAATTAAAAAAGCAAAATTTATTTGCTAACAATTTATCATGCATTAAATAATGGAGTTCCACCTCTACCCTGGAGTTCCTCTTTAGACAGTGCTAGTGATTAGTTAAGTGATCACACTAATGGCGCAGCAAAAATACAGCTTGGGGCTGGTATCAATACAGCATATATATACAATATTTCCAGTTTTTACCCAGCATCAATTGAATGATACTTAGCTTATCATATTGTGAGGGAATAAATAGCAGCTTCCCCAGTAAGTGCCCAACAAACAGTCCTACCCAAAAATAATAGGGGATTCAGCTGTAGTCAAAAGAAAGAAAACGCACAACATAGCATGATACAGTAAAGCATAAAAAGAACACTGTTAAACGTTTGCACTCACACGAGGTAGCAG